GAACTGTGAGTTACAGAAGTTGCTTCTCAAATGTTGGCCTACCCTTGGCCATTGTCCTTGGCAACCTCCCAACGAGGTTGCATGCACCACATTGCCTTGCATCTAGCCTCAACAATCGGCCATCGATTAACTTAATTAGCTTTTACTGAAGAAAAGCTTTTCTTCAGTAAAAGCTCATTAAATTATCGTATTTGATTATGTTATATCCTATTTTTTTGGATTTCATGACTACTAAATCAATCTGCCAAATCATGGATGTAGTTATTTGCGTTGTGTGTATGGAATTGTTTTCCCATGACTGATATAAATTATGCCACAAATTTGCTAGACAATCAACCTCGCAATTATTGACTTGTCAACTCTTTTGAAAATCAAACTTGTGAACTATTGCAAGAAGTTTAGTAAATTTTGCTTCATGTTAAGTAGTTAAATTCGGTATAGAGTTCTAACGTATTCAACAACCAACATTATGATTTATATGACAACCTCACTTGTTGTAAATTCAAAAATTTACAACAAGCATTGTAAATTTTTTAACATGTGATACCATAACCTTATTAATATAGGTTATAAATAATTTTTGGTTATAAATCTATTACAAATATTATTATGAAAATCAGTTTATAATTTTGGATTTACAATAATATCATATTCTGAATCACATCTTCAATTTTTTATAATTTCAACTTTTTGTTCTTTTAATGTTCCGATAATTACTTGTCATGAGGAGAAAATTTCTAATTTGCTAGATTTAAATACCAGAATTGATTTTATGCTTACATTTTAATATCATAGACATAATTCACTTAATCTACTATAAATTAAGTATTATAATCATACTAAGCTTGAATGTTAGATGCAATCATGCGGATGATCAAATGTTTCTTGTTTATTACATTATTATGTTCTGATATTTTTTCTTTCTGATTCTTTGATGATCCGAAGAATTGCATCTCATAAGGAGAGCATTTCTAATCCGCTAGGTTTGAAGGATCATACCTGAATTATGCTTGTATTCAAATCTCATAGGCATGTAGATGGCATTCATATGATACTATTTAACTCCAATAGCTTGTAAACTTTGTTGAGTAAATGATACTCTTGTAACTCTTCAGACTTTGAACAATTATACAAGGTGATTTATGATTATTTCATCAACAAATTGGACTCTAATCCAGCAGAAGCAAGAGAGTATGATTTATTTGAACACTAATTGAGGTTTTATTTTTTTACCATTGCCTTACAGCTGACAATATCCATACATTCATCATGACAATCCAGCGTTGGTTGCAACTTTTGCTACACAATTCCATCAGATTTATATATGCAAAGTCAATACAATGTGACATCTTAATATCCTTTCAATGAGATCTCAATATCTTGATCAACCCCTTTGAAAATTATAGATCTCAATAAGTTTTATAGAATGGAAATCTGTACAATACAACAATGATGGTCAGGTTGATAGAGCTAAGGGTAGATGTGTCACTCACAGATGACAGTTCTGACGGCACTGACCGTGCCAGTGCCGTCAGAACTGCCATGACTGATGTGTCCAAGTCTCCAGTGCCACATACAGTCAGAAATCATCGAAGCATAAATTTCACGACCAGAAGCACATGTAGCAGAGCGATGTAGCCGTCGTTTGCGGAAGATCCGAACACTCAGATTGAGTCCCTGTGGTTTTTTGTCTCGAACAAAAGCTGCATCCAGGATCAAACGACGCATACGCCAGTTCTAGAACAAAATTGCACCACTTAACATGTCAACTTTCCGCTTACAGAGTCGGCACACCAATATGCCAATCATTTGAAAAGTGTGTAACCACAGGCACGGTCGGGAGGTTATGTGCTTGGGTTACGACATGAACCGAGTCCACCAGTACATGGTCAGAAAGCTCACCACGTCTGTCATAAACATGGTCAAGACGTCTAACGATGCCCCGGCACCATGGTTTATGGGGTCCTCTGATACTATGTCGGACTTGTGTATGTACATGAGAGGACAAGGGAGCACACGCAGGAGCGCACACACACACTACAAAGAATGATTGCGAATGGTAGTGAGGTCCCTAGATACCTGAATACTGTACTGTCCTACCGGTTGGTAAACTGACAGTAGGTGTTATGTTAACACCTGACACCTACACTGTCTAAGTAGTTCCTGACAGTTTCAAGAGTGTTCAGGATTTATAATTCTGGAGAAAACAAACGATTACAATTCCTGAATTTGGCGGATGGCATCTGGTGACTCGACTCGATTTAGACATACCCAAGATCGACACGTGAATGTCTTTAAGCTTGAGATAGTCGTCCAGTGCAAGCACGAGGTTGCAGAAATCTCCTCAAAAGTACTTTAAGATTCACCTTTTTCCTTCTATTGATACCTTTTCTAGTAGTCGAAAAGAGAAATAACTGGCTCAGGTACAAAAACAGGAATGCAATATGTTATTCTGGCAAAAAGCCATAGCGAACTATAGTCTTGTGGAGTTCCAGAAGCAGAAGGCAATCGTCTCTGTGCTTGAGACTTGTCTTCGAACTCTGAAATCTCTGCGTAAAGTGCATTTCCAGTACATCTTGTCAACGCGCTAACAGGATGGCTCAGTAATACAGATCTCTGTCGTGCTTTCTCCAAACTTAAACACTGTAGTCTAGAACTCTATAACCACTTATGAACCGGCATTATTTCAGAGCTTGTTGCAGGAATCTGAGAGCAGCACTTAAACAAGGTTGATTTGCGATGGAATGCTTAACTGTCTGACCGATGAAATTTACAGAATTCATTCACAACAGAGCATCATTCACCAACACTCAGACTCGGGGTATTTACTTTTTCAAGAGGCCACCGTTATGGTCGAGAAAGATGTTTGTATGGAATACATGACCTACTTCTAACGTGTACTAATTTCCAACGAGCATCAACTGGTAACACGAGGCATCATCATCATATCAGCGTTACTTCTTACTACCACCAGTGATAAGTTTGTTGCTAAATTTAAACTACAGAGTCATCAACAGCAGACTGCCTCTCCATCTGAAATGTGGATGAAGCTAACGCGTGAATGTTACTCTCGAACAAATGTAGCTGCGATAGGATGAAGTTTTAGATATCAACAGAAAAATTTCTCTACCATTTGCAAGAATGTACGAGGGGCTAGTAATAATTGATAATATTTGGACTACTAGCCTTCGTGTGGGTTTAAAATGATGCAGTCTGACACCAAAGTTCAGCATGAACTCTCATTTGCGGGTCTCTGAGAACAGCTCAGTATAACCTTCACCAATAATAACCAAATTTAATCATCCAATTGTTGGAACCGGTTGCATCAACCATATCTAGGTCTTCGTCAAATGTCATGAAAAATCTGTGCCCGTCTTTACGCAACGTGTAACTCTCGTCTGATAATGTGGAGACGTGAACTCTTCGGACTCCTGGTGTGGCTCTTTGAGGATTTTTCATTAGTATTGTATATCTGAATTCTTTCCATTAAGCTTGTACTACAGTGTGTCTTAAAATGAGTGACTCATTTAGAGAATTTGTGCAGAAGGCTGTGCTGTACGAGAGCTTTGTGATTGAAACTCTTGCACAGTAAAGCTGGAAAGTTCAGTTCAATGCCTTCACATCTTAGACCTGATAATTTTTTTCCTGTAAATGTATATCATATCTTCTGTACTTTAACTTCTGAAAAGATACTGGCACACAAAGTATCTAATTGTCAGTAGTTAAGCCTAAAAGGAGTGTAGGTTTAACCACAAGAACACATATTTGATTCATTTGAGTACAAAGTCTACTCTAGAACTCTGACAAAAGTGGAATTAGATTGAAAGCAAAATCATGTGTTTCAAACTTCAACTTCAAGCACTGTCCACTATATCCATGGAAAGAATCAACATAGTTACTTGAGAACAGGCGTATACCGCATAACTCCAGAACAATTCTCTTAGGCAGGGATGAGATTTATGGAGCTTTTGTGGTGAACCTACGAAGATAAATCGATTTGCTAGCGGCTTTTCAGATGAAGAATGCACAATCTCTCTTGTAACCAAACAAGGAATCAAATGGAAAACCCTCAGATACTAGTTATAAGTCGCCTCAGATAGGTGAGAAACTAAATTCTCGAGCGATCGACGACCATAGTAAAAGTAACATCGCGTGTGATCTAAGTTTGCAACCTAATTTTTTGAGCCACCAACAGACAAGGCGAGAAATCCGCAACCTGATCAACCGGACCTTGACAAATTTTTTGAGTGGCTTCTTTCGAGTGAGTTTTGGTGAAGTACCCTGTTCACGATGATATCACGAAGTCAATGACCAGCTTATGTAGATCTGCGCAACTGTTGTGGATGCCTGAGAACGCGTTGGTGTCCCTTGTCCACTCGATCGATCGCGATGGCATGAAACGCAGGCAATTGTGCTTTCCACGCAAGGACACTGAATTAATGTTATCCGACTTCCACCCATGCTGCGAGCTGAACACAACTCCCGACGACCTTACCAAGAAATTCCGAAGCTTTAGACGGTATCCGAGAAGCTGAGTCTTGACGTATATGCAGACTTTTGCATTTTCAAAAGCACACTACTCTTGACTTGACCACATACCCGATCATTTGTCCTGCTTGTATACTCCTGGGAACACTGTGGATCTTCATGCTTTCTACTTGTTCAACCCTCAGGCGTTGCTTCTTTGTTCAGTCAAAGCTCGAGGTCTACATCTTGGGGTTAGATGGAGTTCGATCTGTGATAACCTGATTCAAACTCTACATTCGCCCCGGCGTTAGCTCTACTCCATTGTGACGATGGACAGCACGATAGTACTTATTCAAATGCATGACAGAGCAAGTACGAAGCGAAGTACGTGGTATTATTCTCATTATTCTAGTTCACAGATAAGAACCGACGAATAAATAGGCGGGTTGGTAGTCAATGGCTTTCCTCGCCACGAACTGTGCATCAAAAGTTAACAGAAAGTCGCGTCGTTTGGACCTTCAAAACCAAGACACCCACTTGTTCTGCTTATCGGAGCCATAACTAGTATTGGAGATATTGGAGCTGTATGTGGTTTGACATGGAGCGGAAACTCAGGAATAAGACCCGGATATAGAAGGAAGATTTCCGACTCGTGGGCATGTTCTTCGTCTTGTACTAGTATGAATTGGTGGTCGTTCCACATACTGCGACTATGTACAACGTTGAATGGAGGCAGAAACATCATTCGGATCATAAGGGAAACGTGGTCATCGCTTCAGAGTTTGTGTTCCTATAAGGTTTTTCTTCTACCTGACATTCCTGTCTGCAACTACTAAATCTTCCTTTAAAACCTTCTTCATCAGAGACTGCAGCTCCTGGTATTCCAACTACAATTTTGCCCTTTGCGAGATGCCGTCGTCTCCGAATATCTTATGTTGGCATTGAACAAGCTTCGTACTCTGTTTTTATACACATAGCTCTGATCTATATGTCAACGTGTTTCAGCGTCCGATTGTGCAATGTATACTGTCACTCACTAATACATAGGATTGAACATTGCAGAAAATATGCTCAAGAGTTCGGGAGATGAATTGGAGTTGAAACAGTGTGTTGGAGGTTGAGAATTCGATTGTGACTTGTCTTTCTGTGACTTCATGGGTGCAGGTATACGAGATGGGCATGGGACAAGTTGAGAAACGGAGAAAGAATTTGCCTGTCGTTGAAACGAGTCAGTCTGCACTTCAAGATGCACATCGTAGTTTTGAAGCCTCTGGAAAGATGCTGTCGGATGCTGATGCTACTCCAGACAGAAGGAGGAAGAAGAATCAACAAACAAATGGACTGTACAAGTGGCTGACAGAGGCTGCTAGAAGAGGATTCTTCTTCTTCAACAAGTCAGACAGTCGGGGTTTGATCCTCCAGCCAGAAACAGTACCCGTCGCCATCGGCGATATCGGCCCTGTCAGAGCTAAAAGGCTGAAATTCTTGGGTTTGTCTAGATGCCAGCTTCGGGTGAATAATCCGAACCGCATATGTCAGTAATTCGAAAACCTATACGTTTCTCATGGTTTTCAAGAGATATAACTCAATTGACTGACTTTAGTGCCAACAATCACTTGTGCGCAGCTGCTTCCGGAATTTGTATCAGGCCTGGTGAGACTTGAGTCGCTGCAATTACAGCACAATCATCTGAAGACACTGCCAGACTGGATAGGGAATTTGACGCAGCTCAAGTACTTGGACGTATCCGGAAACCTTTTAAAACATTTGCCTGATGGCCTGGGCAAATGCAGGTAATCCACTTATAGAATATGAAGGCAGAGTACGCTACACTGACATGATGCTTGACTTCGGATCCTTTAGGTGTCCAACTTGTGCTGGCATCGGGAAGATGAAAAACGAATCTGCAAGCGAAGAGCTGTGAACTAACTATACTATTTGATGGGTCCCTACATAGCCTGAATGTGTTCAATGACCCAGAGGAGTTTACTGAGTACGAACTGGTGAGCAGACACTAAAATCACGGGATTTGTGCCAATCTGCAGGTCGTTGTTGGAGTTCGATGCGAATTTGAATCAGCTGGAGAGCCTCCCCTGCACTCTCGGCCGCTTAGAGAAACTAGAAAAATTACACGTGCACATCAACAATCTGAAGAGCCTTCCGCCCTCCTGCTCCAACCTGAAGTCACTGAGGTATGTCGACCTGCGCTTCAACAAACTCCAGGAGCTGCCAAAGTGTATCGGCGACCTGCAGCCGCTGGACTTCCAAGGCTGTGACATGGACGGCCTGCCAGAGTTCATAGATCTGAGCTTCAGTGAAAAAAGCTCCGACTTGCAGACCGAATCACCGGCATTTTCCGCCGAGATTACCATTTACAACTATCTGTCAAATTCCGAACAGGGGAAGGACTTGTCTAAATGCTTCGAAGGTCAGCTCACGAACATGTCCATGATCCTGTTGCTGGATGGAAACCCCGTCAGCGTTCCTCCTATAAAGACAATGTATATCACTGGTTGTGCCACATTGGAAAGGTACACACAACAGGATCTCGTCGATTCTGATCCTAGAAAGTGACCGCATCTGATTCAGGTTCTCGCTAAATGCACTCCGATATGCCAAACATGTCACTGACAAATTTGTCCCCTCAGCCACTGCTGGCCAGGTTTCTCGAGCTAACAGCTCATGTACATACATCAAAGTTTTTAGTAGTATGAAGAAGACGAAGTGTAGTGTACGCTGTGGCAGCTTTCTACGACTGATACAACCCAACCATATGAGGTGATCATGAAAAACCGCAATCCAAATTTTAACGATGAGATATCCGATCATCTCGTAGTGAAACTAGTGTATGGATGAAACTGCAGAAAATGAACAGTTGGAAAGACTGTTTACAAATGTCAAAGAATTATGTGGATAATGTGAACACTATCTCTTGATTACAAAAAGAATTTTGTAACAAAACCATCAAAATTTTATAGTCAAATTTTTTTTTCAAGAGCTTTAATGGATAAATTAATAACATTCAACCTAGAAGTCCATTAGCAATTATGAGAAAAGGAGACATTGCATAACTGTTATGATAGATCAATCAATATGCAATTTACCTCTATATGCTAAATTATGATTCACAACTCTAGGCTAGAATTAGCATGTATTACATATCCAAATTTAATTTGATCTCTCTTATTTTTTCAATTCAACACCAAGTAAATGTACTCAACCATAATAATCTAATCTATATGGAATTTTGATTCAAAATATTTCAATATCACGGAAACTTACAAATAAGTTACACAGAAATTTCAGATTATTCAATTATATCAAGTTCTAATTAAGACAGTAAAATCGTTTTTAAAAACATCAATCATACAAGAAAAGTGATACTATTTATTTTAATTTATTTTCATATTAGTACATTATAAAACCAAAATAAGTTTTATTGTGACAAAATAAATTAATTGTGTGATATCAACAATACTATACTCAAAATCAAGTTATTTCAAGAATATCATTTCAATGTCCGAAATACAAGCATAAAGTAAAGTAAGAAATTTGCAATCAAATACCAATACGAAAATAAATAGAGTAGAACCTCCAATAGCGAATACCCTTGGTACCTCACAGCAGGTGATTAGTATCAGAGGTTATTACCTAGCAGAGGTAATGTTTGAAAAGCTGTGCGCGGCCATGGTAACGCTTTGAGAGTTAAATGGGCCTCAAAATTCGCGATGCTAGTACGTCTACTCGACAGTGCGCGGACCCACTCATAGAATCGACCACATCTCCGCCACGGCATATTCTCCATCGGAACATTTACTTTGCCGCAGCAACTGCTCCGTCGTGCATCTTCTCCGCAGCTCCGACTTCACAAAGTCCTCTGAGCATCATGTCTCTGAAGAAAACTTCTTACACTCTGATGACAGACAAGCAGAGGATCGCTCTTGTCAAACAGAAACAAAATGAGCTGCGTATGACGCACACAAACCTCATTTCTTGGGCAGAGAAGCACCTTGACATGAAAGTCAACCAGTCGATCAGCTCAAAGACACTGGTAAGGTCGGAAGACATCCTTGCCAAGAGAGACAACCCTACGGATGTGAAGCGACATAAAGTTGTAAAGTATCGGCTGATGTAAGAGGCCCTTTACGAGTGGTTCATTGCTTATCAGGGTCAAGTGAACATGAGCAGTGAGCTGCTAAAAGCTCACGGAGCCAAATTCCTGTATGAACTGTATTCAGAAGCGGATGGGTTCAAATTTTTGAACGGATGGCTCGAGAAGTTCAAGGCTCGCTACGGAATCAAATCCTTTCATCGATTCAAAAAAAGTGGTTCTGTTGACATGAGTGTTGTCGACCAGGCTCTTCCTCGACTTCGTGAACTACTTGACCCACTTCCATGGACAGACATCTACAACATGGATGAAACTAGACTTTTCTTCTGCATGCTTGTAATCCCAATCGGAAAATAGGAGTTATTATTTGCCTTTCTCTTCTAAACATGCTAATATTTGTCCTCGCTTTTGCAAGCGGACTCTCGTTGGCAACAAAGCAATTGGAGGGCCGTAAGGCATAGAAGGAACCGATAACACTTCCAGTCTGCTGCAACAGTGACGGCAGTGACAAGTTGCCACTCTAGATCATCAAAAAGTTTCAAAATCCGCGGTGCTTCAAGAACTTGAAAAGGGAGAACCTTGGTTGCAAGTACCGTTGGAACTTGAAGGCATGGATAACCCAGGTCATTTTACTTGAGTGGATCAAGTGATTCGATCTCCGGATGGCGGAGATCAAACCACTTGACAACTGTTGTGCTCATATTCTTGTTTCTCGTCTCCCTGAGCTACGTAACACAACCGTCACGTAACTTCCGCCAAACACAACGTAAAAAATCCAGCCTTGCGATGCAGGTATAATTCGGAACTTAAAAGCTTATTATCGTCGTCGGTTCAACGAGAAAATACTTTTGCGTTCATCCAGAAAAATTGACATTTTTTTAGGCATCCAAATGCCTGTTACAGCAAGGAATTTGGATGTCAAGCCGGAAACAATTTCCAATTGCTTTCAACACTGTCAAATCCGTACAGAGGACATCGGGCTACGCCCCGTAACGGAAGACATGGTAGAGCCATCAGCTGAAGTCATCAGTGAACTAGAGAGCGAGATTCGTAGGTTCTGCTATGAGAATCCTATGAACATTCAAAACCTACTGAACTACCCTGATGAAGAAATTGTGACGTACAAGCCGACCAAAGAGGAGATTGTCGCAAACTTGAAGAAGCTGGTTGTCGAGATTCCTGGCCCTGAAGAAGAGCACGACAGTGAAGATCTACCAAAAATTTGCCCTAGTGATGCCATTTCCATGCTCGAGAAGCTTCAACACTTTTGGCTTCAGCAGGAGAAGGTCCATACGGAAAATCTTTTGTCAATAAGAAGCATGATGGACGTTGCTCCTCGCAGGATTCGAACTGAGAAGTTGCAGAAAACCACATTAGATAGGTTTTTTGCCAAGAAATAGGCCACAGGTGATAGGTGTTTGCTGTCATATTTACTAAGAAAACAATCGAAACTGTCCCAATTTTATTCACTAGTAGAGAAAGGAGGCTATTCCCTAAGCTGCATATACTCAAGGTCTGGACCGAAAGATTTTCACTTGGTACTGGAGGTTATTTGCTACTAGAGTATTTGGTAGTGGAGGTTCTTCTGTAATCCATTTAAGTAAGGTCAAATTAACGACGTAAATTTTCACATTAAAAATCTTAATCTAAGTTATATCATATTTTTAATCATTTCTATCCTATAGTTGTGTGTCATACAAAGTATATTTAAATATAATCAAATTCATTTAAATTACTTGAGTATAAATCAACTCCTCATATCAAAGTAGTAAAAGCTTACTCTCTTAATAAATTATTACCAAATCAAATTTCATGATCAAAACTTACTTATATAACAATGAATTGAATTCTACTCTTAGTAGAAATGATATTTTGATATGTTATAACTATTTATATTATAATGTTATCACAGTATTCAATAATCAAATAAGCTTCAAAAATTCAGTTTTTAAATTAACATTTTTTAATGCATGTAATTTAGACATACATGTTTCTTTTTTTTTTCCAAAATTTTTGTCTTGCATATATTTAAAAGACTAATTTGTAAAATTGGATTTTTCAATAACATATTTCAGATTTAACGAGATTATTATCAATTATTATATTGATATGAGTACATGAAATATTTATATATATAAATTTTAATTTTATTTGAGATTGATAAATATTTTATATATCATGATTCAATGATTTTTATAATGTATCTCTATAGAAGTTTGAAAACTTCAAAGACGGTTTGTCCTTCGACTTGTTTCAAAAAACCAGTCGAGTGTAACTTGAGTAAAAATATCGGTTGTTACACACATGCGTTACTTTTACAAACAAACTTGACAAACCTTATAATAGAGTCATGAACAATTTGATCAAAATATCAAAAGAAATTGTCCTTGAGTATTTCATTAAAGATTTGTCACGAAGATGGATGTACTTGACAATGCTGCAGAAAGCGTTAATATTGTTATGAATCGAAGAGACAACATCTATGGAGATGATTTTTAATAGTTAAACACTCTTGACACCTATATCATCGTGGTTTGATTGAAGTGCACATACTTGAAATGTATTTTAGTAACATTCATAAAGTCACTTTGGTTAAAATTTTAGTGATCATGTTATGAGCCGAAGTAACAACATGAAATTTTTCTCTACTGTATTAGTGGCATTCATCATAGTCCCGGATACTGCATCAATGATTTGTAACTCGTACTACTAGCTTTTCTAGTGTGACAAGTTTCCACTTTTTAAAATTCGTTTCATATGCATATCTATCATCTAGATTTGGATTTGATGTTAATCTAGATGCAACGAGTGTCCATATGTGGAATACAAAATACAACTATATATAAAAGGATAACATGCTAAATACACCTTGTTCGGGTTGACGGGCTAGTCCCATCGATTCTATATTCTAGTGGTTATTATCTAAGATACCCTGAAATATACAGCGTTTGCCATAACAGGGATATGTCAAATGAAGCGAGGTTGGAGGTTTGCTGTCAGGGACTAATTATACTTGTTGTCAGAGACTTTCAAGTTAACCTCGGCCGATCTAAACCATATACCAATCGATGCAGTCTCCACATCTGTTGGCTATAGCTCCGTTGGAGTTGCTCCGTGGAGTACCGCCTGCACAGATGAGAAATCGAGAAACGGGTGGTGAATCGGAAGTCAAAGTCAACGAGCTAGATACGGAGAAATATTAAGGAAATATCTGTGTTGGCAAGGAGAAGCGGGCGGTCAGCTTTCGGACCTTCGACAATGGGGATAGCGTGTCCATCCAACAAGGATCACCAAAGCGCTTGCGCATTTGCCACTGCTCGCGTGGATAGGACGCGGCGATCGGCCTGAGGCTGCGAGTGCGAATGGAGGTCTGGGGAGTGTAGTGGACTTTTGGACCGGGTCCAAAAGACCAGGTCCAGAAACTCTACAACTGGAAAGATCGTGTGCTGAGGATAGCTTGGCGTGCTCTTAGAGTTTAATAATCGCTGAAGGAAAGCAGCTGAGCTTGCTGAGGATTCGGAGAACCTTTCCATCTTCGCGCACATGCCCGACATCTGGACTTGGCCCACCAACACCATGTCCGGGACTCTGTACGAAGTTTGGAGAGGCCGCCACTTTGGGAACGACTGAGTCTCCGATGGCATGCTTTGTTCAGCAATCTGTTTGGATAAAATTGTGTTGTGTGGAGAATCGACGTCGATGAGCCTTCCTTCGGCTCATGCTGGTGGAGGTGTCGCCAGTAGCCTGTTGTTAACGACGACCTCAACATTCCGCAGACGTAGTCCTGTTTCTATGCTGCAACCCTGTGGCCGGCTAAACCTTCCACCATTTTTTGTCGTTTTTCAAAGCAGGATCGACCCGATTTTTACTTTAGCCTACTGCTGACGAAGTCGGGAAGCTCGACTTGTCAAATCGAGTTCACCACCACTTTCCTCGCAAACCCTGTTAAGGGGTGCTCTTGTTGAAAGGGCTCTTGCTTGAGCCTACTGCTGACGAAGTCCGTCTGCTAGTCGGGAAGCTCGACTTGTCAAGTCGAGTTCACCACCACTTTCCTCGCAAACTCTGTTAAGGGGTGCTCTTGTTGAAAGGGCTCTTCCTTGAGCCTACTGCTGACGAAGTCCGTCTGCTAGTCGAGAAGCTCGACTTGTCAAATCGAGTTCACCACCACTTTCCTCGCAAACTCTGTTAAGGGGTGCTCTTGTTGAAAGGGCTCTTGCTTGAGCCTACTGCTGACGAAGTCCGTCTGCTAGTCGAGAAGCTCGACTTGTCAAATCGAGTTCACCACCACTTTCCTCGCAAACTCTGTTAAGGGGTGCTCTTGTTGAAAGGGCTCTTCCTTGAGCCTACTGCTGACGAAGTCCGTCTGCTAGTCGAGAAGCTCGACTTGTCAAATCGAGTTCACCACCACTTTCCTCGCAAACTCTGTTAAGGGGTGCTCTTGTTGAAAGGGCTCTTCCTTGAGCCTACTGCTGACGAAGTCCGTCTGCTAGTCGAGAAGCTCGACTTGTCAAATCGAGTTCACCACCACTTTCCTCGCAAACTCTGGTAAGGGGTGCTCTTGTTGAAAGGGCTCTTCCTTGAGCCTACTGCTGACGAAGTCCGTCTGCTAGTCGAGAAGCTCGACTTGTCAAATCGAGTTCACCACCACTTTCCTCGCAAACTCTGGTAAGGGGTGCTCTTGTTGAAAGGGCTCTCCCTTCGCTTCGCAGCCACGACACTTGTCTAAGAGCTGCTGCTGCTACCAAATTTACTCTTCCACGTGCAATTATAATTCTATTCTATTTGTAACTAGCACTCGAAGCCTCATGTCCCCCGACTGCCTGTTTGGCAAAGGATAAACCCAAACCTCGCTGTCGGAAATAAAAAGAAGAGCTTTCTCGATCGTGGTGTGCTCTGTACTGTAATCTCTTCGGAGAGCGTTGTGTGGAGTATCCGCGGAGATCGAGCTCATCTCTATTTCTTCTTCGTCCAGCACGCCACGTCCTCCTTTGACTTGCCGTAGCTGGCAAAGTGCGCACTTTTGTATACACGACGAGCGCAAACCTTGAAAGCTCTATTTATCTATTAAGCTGGTCTTGGTCGGTCAAGCAGGAGTGAGTAGCTCTGTCAGCTCCCTCTTGACACCGATCCGTCTGCAGATCGGAGTCCGTAGGTCTTCTGTCACGTGTCCTTTGTTGTCCCCTTCTGGTTCTCTAGTCGCTCTGTCGTCTGTTCATTGGACTCAGTGTTTCTTTCCGTCTCTTGAATCGTTCGAGCATATCCCTTATAGTTGACGTACACTTTCTCCTCGTAGACAGAGAAAGAGTGTGAGTGAGTGAGAGAGTGTGTGAGTGTATATGTGTGCGGCTGCTTAAGATCCGAGATCAGAAATCCCGGCTGAATAAAATACGTTAGAGGCTTTCGACGGCTGGGTCTCTCTATGATCGATTCCCGATTGCTCTTCGTAGCCGACCGAGCCACTGTGGCCGCCGACAACTGAACGAGGAACTTGGCGGCTGTACTCTTGTACAAACATGTACAAGAGCTGATTGGAGTCTCAATCATCTGAACGGCCGGCCACTCAGTGTACATTTGGATTAGTAAAGGATCTCCATAGTCATGGATTCCCGATGTCGATCCTTGCAGCTCGCAGGAGTCCTGTGCATTCTAGCGTTCGTGTTCTCTTCTGCATCTGCACAAACCTGCATCAGGCGTGACAGAGATGCATTGTTGGCGTTCAAGGCCCGTTTTGACGATCCCTTGAACCAGCTCGGGTCGTGGAACCAATCGAGAAATTGCTGCAAAGATTTCGTCGGCGTTACATGTAATTCCAAGGGGGAGGTTACCAATCTGACATTCGCAGGCAGGGTCGACGAGGAGTGTGATGAAGACTGCCCCTTCATCCGCAACAAGAATGAGGGCACGGATCCCATTGGTCCCACCCTGTCGAAGCTGTTGGCGCTTCAGACTCTGAATCTGAGTTTCATTCAAATTGTAGGCCCTTTCCCATCCGGATTGAGTGCATTGAAGAGCTTATCGTATTTATCCTTGACCCGCTTGGAACTCCAGGGATCCCTTCCTGCGGACCTTTACAAGATTTCCAGCTTGAAGTATCTGGCATTCGGAGGTCCCTTCGGAGGCTTTACGAGTGATTTTTGCAAGCTGACGAAGTTGGAGATCTTCGACATTTCCGAGACAGTTTTCAGCGCGGGAGGCAACGGGGCTGGTCTTGGAGGAACAATTCCTTCCTGCATCGGAGATTTGCAGCAGCTGCGACAGTTTCTCATAGAGTTTAACAACTTTACCGGGCCCATTCCCGACTCGATCCGAAGACTGCAGAAGTTGCAGCAGTTGAAGCTCTCGGGCAATGCTTTGTCGGGGCCGATTCCCGCGGTCCTTGGAGAATTGAAGGCCCTGGAAATTTTGTATATCCAAGGAAACGATTTCAGCGGTTCCATTCCTTCCACCTTGGGTAACTTGCCCAACTTGAAGGATCTGAGGATTGGAGGAACGGCAGCTCTGCAAGATAATAGTTTCGTCGACTTGAAGTTTACCAACATCGATGGTGCTATTCCATCTTCTCTCGGGGGTCTCCCAAAGCTACAGGTACAGAAATTTTACCTTTTCCCTGCGTACCAATTTGAGCAATCATTTGTATCAATGTGCGCGAATTTTCCCAACTCTTTACTTCGACATTTCGTACTTTGAACCTAGAGATAAGGAGTTACCTTCTTCTGAGCTTGCTGAATTTCTCCAGTTAGTGTGACAAACGCTCACAACTTTCTGTACCTGGTGTGCAGACTCTCTACATCAAGGGGTCAAGAATTACGGGAGCCATACCTAGCTCCCTCGGCAACGCGAAAATGCTCACAGATCTAGAGCTGGAATTCAATTCTCTTGATGGGGTATTGCCCGCGTCACTTGCTGGCCTCAACCTGACGGTATTTCAATTCAATGACAATCAAATCAGCGGTGTCATTCCTGCAGCCTACGGGCAATTCCGCTTTCTGACGAGGTTTATCGGAACTCGAAACAAATTAACTGGTCAGTTTTCGTATCCGAGTATTCTGGTTGCTTATGAAATTGAACAATGAAGAAATTGAACGCACACGCACTCCAATGTGCACAGACGGTTGATTCTGCCGTCCTTTGTTCAGTGAGCTGATTATTTGCCCAGGCAATTTAGAACTGGATAACTCTGCTGAAGCGAGTTTGACGAGAGCTCCAGCGCTGAAAGACTGGGTCGCATGTGTTCTGATACGTATAATGATGTGATTCTCTTTTCAGGGCCACTCCCCAAGGAACTATCAAACTGGAGATTTCAACCCGCAGGAGCGCTGGACCTGTCGGATAACATGATAACGGGACCGATTCCTGATGATCTCGGACTAGCTCTACCTTTAGCAGATTTCAACATATCTTACAACCAGCTCTCGGGTTCGCTGAAGCCATCGTCGTGGTATAAAACTTCGAGAATCTATCTGAACAACAACCAGCTCACCGGCCTCGGATCCGGCAACATTCCGGACGATGGCGAGAGCGGGCAGAATACGCAGACTTTTGACGTCCACTCCAACCGCATCTCAGGTAAACAATCTGCTCGGACCGCACGAGTGCCACTGACTTGTTTGCACCTTAGTGGCTGAGGGTTGAAATGCGGGCTCTGACAGAATGGGCCGATTGATCGTGCGCAGGTCCGGTTCCCAACTGGGTCTTCCAATTTGTAAGCGCAAGCGCGATCGACCTTTCTGACAACATGTTCACAGCGCTGCCGGTCATGCCATCGGCCGGGATATCGGTGTACTACCTCAATGTCTCGAACAACCAGATCACCGGGAGCATTCCGGACACCTTCTCCAGATCGAACGATTTGGACATGAGCAGGAACAAGCTCACAGGCTCCATCCCCGCCAGCTTCGGTTCGAACAACGCGAACATAATCGATCTGAGCTACAACATGCTGACGGGCGAAATTCCTGCGGGCATCTACGACGGCACATTCTTCAACACGCTCGTGTTGAGCAACAACATGCTGACGGGCCCCATCCCTGAGCGCTCGGACAATAATGTGTTCCTGCGCAACATCGACGTCTCCAATAACCTGCTCATAGGCTCCGTTCCCGCCTCGCTGTTCAATTCTACATTCTCTGGCGTTATCAAGGTCGGCAACAACCGCCTCACGGGGCCCGTCCCCAACTTTGCTGACAACTGCGATTTCCTCACTACAGTGGTTCTGGAGAACAATCTGCTCTCGGGCCCGGTGTTGCCTTCCGGTGCCTCATTCGAGACGTGCAACAGGTTGGAAGTTTTCGACGTCAGTGGCAACAACCTGTCCGGAGGTGTACCCACCGAGTTGGCGAATCTCTTGGTCAGAGTTTCTTTCATTCTCTAGAAATTTGTTTTATTCATTTTCCTCTGTCCTGGAACTTGATTTTTGCTGAGTATTGATCGCTTCGTCTTCTCGCCATATCCTGCACGTTAACTGCAATTATGTGGATGATCGATGACGTCTGGCTGTGTGGTGAACATTGTGCCCACGAGCCTTGAAATTATGATGCTGGGACTTCGTGAGGAGGAGATTCGGGTGATTGATTCTTCGTTTTGTTTTGAGCTCAGGGTTTGAGGGTCTTGGATCTCAGCATGAACTCTTTGACGGGACCAGTGAACGAGGCTTTGAGCAGTTTGGCGAGTGTCCTTGTTCTCGACCTCTCCGGCAACAGGTTGACGGGGAGCGTTCCCTGGACGATGCTGGTGTCCGGGTTTGCTGCTTTGAAGGAGGCAGGAGCATCGGCGTTGAAGTTCATGTCCGGATCCCCTGCTTACTCTGTGACGATCAGTTATGAAGAGCTCAGTCCTGGCACCTTCCTGAGAACTGACTTCGTCACTTCTGCCTACTCCACCGCTCTCAACTTCTCCAACAACGCTCTGGCCGGCATCGTTGACTCGTCCGTCGGACAGCTGAAGGGCCTTCATGCCTTTGACATCAGTGGAAACCAGTTCTCGGGTGCTGTTCCTGAAACGCTCGCAGACATCACCGACCTCGATTTCCTGGATGTTTCCTACAACAACTTCAGAGGCCCCATCAGCCCCAAGCTGGCAACATTCCCCGCATCGTCGTTCGAGGGCAACCCCAACCTTTGCGGTGCCCCTCTGTCTAATCCCTGCACATAGTAGATGCCAATACTCTCGATGATAGGCCCGGAAGAAGGTGGTTGTTCGTTTGGAAGATCGCGGATCACGTCTACTGTAGGTGGCATCGCCCATTGTGCGCGCCAGTCTAGAAAGGCAGAGAATGATCACTGGTGCTCTTTTAAGTGTTCATTTGAGCATCGTTGACATGCTCGTTCGTAGAGAAGCTCGTTGGTGCTCAACTTCATGTATATATCACATGTAAAGTGTTTTTTTTTCATCTTTTTCTAAAGAATTGGAAGCTTTATATGTACAGATCGAAGTTGAACTGCGCAAACTTTTTTTAACCTTAGGTTGATCCTTTCATTGGTTAGAGAATCCGTGGAACGTGTTGATGAGTCAATTAGTGTTTATTAAGAAAATGCTTTGAACAAAGTGATATAGTTAAGCAGGTAATGTGACCATGAAATGAAAGCTCACGTTAATATAAACAGAATATTTCCAGAATTTCATGCAAACAATCTTTTTCTTCTTGACCTCACTTAAAAATGGTTCTTAGTTCTTAGATTCCAATGGCTAAAGTTGTAGCATGAACATTTATATATAGATTTCTCCCATATAGGCTTCAACAGTGGCATTCATGCTATAGGTTGATAATTGATGATTAGACAATTTTGTAGGTTGAATTTTCTATTTGAGTTTACAGCATTGAGTTTCTTTACATGGCAACTTCAGGAAAGAGATTTTGTTATACGTGGATAAGTTCTCATACATCGTATGAGAAAAATTGAGGTCGGTAATGTCGTTATTTATTTATGTATTTATCACTCTAGTATGCAAACAGGAGTTTTCAAAAATTGGCTGGATGGAACCACTGTCGTGCTACTCAGTATCGCCATACATCATACATCTCTGACATGCTCTACTCACAACTCACACATACATACACAAGGAACGAGAGTGTCCACACACAAAGGTATCACAACTCGCCCCCCTAGCTGGCGGTCAGGTCCCTCTGACTCCCAGGTAGCCCTATCTACAACTACATGCTATGCACCTTCGTGGGTGCGCGAACTAGTAGGCCGGGTGCTATGTCGCCCCATCGTTAGTCGCCTATCTGCAATTCATAACATGTGAAGATCAAGTCATCTACCCTCTGAAGTACATCGAGGACAAACCCACCATCCAGTAGGAACAACATCGATAGGTGGAGTCAAGCACGACATGTGCCATCCCCTAGAACACCTATCACACACCAACATATGGGCCGCGTGATCAGTTGACCCACATAACATGCACCTCAAGCCGGCACGTACAATTGCCAAGCTTGGGTCCATAGTACCATCCACGTTTGGGAAGTGGCATGGCGCACAGTTGCGCACATGATCCTTCCAAACGACACCGTCACGACCCTCCAACATGAGAACTCCAGAAGGTAACACCTCTCGCACTCGCAAGATAGTGCGTCCTGCCGTCACATCCAACGTAGTCGGTGCAGTCTGCTGTAGATAGACGTAGTCTCCCACGCGGAACCTACGAATCGATGGTCGATAACCTCCCCCTCGAATAGTTGCATACCGCAACGTATCCCGGTGCTGAGCAATCGCAAGGTTCTCAAACGCTGCAGGCATAACTCTCCGAAAGAGCACTGCACGTTGAGAACACACTCTCACCCACATATCTTGATCATCAAGGTTCACCACCTCGCTAGACTCACGACGAATCGCTGCAGGCAAGTCTGGATCTCGGCCGTACAATAGAAAATATGGTGAAAACGAAGCCAAGGATGCTTGACGACTGAATCGATATCCCATGGCCAACCATGGTAACTGAATATCCCAGTCCCCAAGATGCCTCTTCTGTAGGCCATACTTGCGCAACGCTCTCTTCACCGTCTGTACCATCCGCTCAGCCAACCCATCCGCCTCTAGATGATCTCGGGAAGTAGTCCGGTGATCAATCAGCGTCTTGTCACACAAGACCTGAAACTCACCCTGAAACTCTGTCCCCTGATCGGTCAACACCTCAGCTGGTGCACCAAAGTGACTAAGCACCCTGTCAAGGAAAGCATATGCTACTCCCTCACTCGCCTTGTCAGGTAATGCCACCAACTCAATCCACTTGGAGAAATGCTCCGCCATCACCAACACATACCGATGATGTCGTGTAGTCAAAGGTAGTGGTCCAGCAAAGTCCAAACTCCAACGGTAACCCAATCCCATGATAGGTGAGGGATGTAACTCTGGTGTCGGGGCATTGAACGATGCCCTCACTCGATCACAAACCATGCAACGTGATACCAACTGCTACACCTGCGTATGCATACCACGCCACCAATACTGTCCTAGGAGTAAGCTGTACGTACGCTTCACTCCAAAATGTCCCAACTCCTCATGAGCATGCCTCACAAACGTGCACGATGAGCACGTGAACCAACCCTCGCAGCATCCAACAACACTGCTGATCCAATCCATGCCTTGACCTCATGGACACTCGCCATCAACTGGGCCCGAGTGTCACCCAACAATGGTACGTTCTCTAGAATGTATGCGGGAGAACGTGTCTGCTGCTCCTGGAGATGACGTAACACTCGTAGCATCTCCCAAAACATCCGAGATCTCGGGTCATGTAACCCTGCTCCATGTCCAGCGCGTGTGTGCCCCTGACATGGCCATCCCGCAATCACCAAATCGATATGTCCAACTCGATCGAGGTCTGGCGCCCCCAGCAATGAAATGTCTGTAGGCAACGCCTTCTGGTATCCTCGAACAGCTGATCGCGGCAACAACAAAGGAAAACGCTGCATCAACTGTGTAACATGTCGTGAAGAAACCCGACGTGCAGTCTCGTCCTTCTCCACGTACAAGTATCTACGTACAAGAATACCTGACTGCAACACTGCAGCCAAACCCGTGCTGATCCCTCCAAAAAGATCCAGCAAACAAACACCCTCTGGGGAATACTCCTATACAATAGGTGTAGTAACTAATGGTGATAGGGTACCAAGACCACATACTAGCCGACCATCTGAGACTCGCTCTGCCTCTGCTGGTAAAGAGGCCTCACTCCAAGCCTTCTTCATCAACCTATCAGCCTCCTGCTGTAATGCGTGGCAAGAATCCCAAAGTGGAACATCCAAAGATGATGACACTGCCGCTGCGAGACTCACCATCTCCTCCACCTCCTCATAGACTGGAGCATCCTCGGCTGACCTGTTCCCCTCCAACAAGTCATCAGGCCATGTGAGCACTCCATTGAAACCCGCAATAGAGGCTAAAACTGCAGGAGAAGATCCAAGAGGTCGATCTCGAGAAATGAACCTCACAGGCAGCTCACTCATACGTCCATCACCGGACTCCCAACCAGGACGATAAGCTGCCGTCTCCGTCCAATAATCCATCCGAAATCCCATCGGATATAACACCGCTCCACCAACAAGCACATCATATGACTCTGCTGATGTAACCACCGCTCGAACTCCAAACTACGAGCTATCCTGAGCATGACCATGCCTCAACTGCACTGATATGCGCTCTCTGGTCATCCTGTAAGATCTGTCGCTGGTGCCACCGAGTGATGTCTGAATCTGGAACGGACAAGGCTCCAACTCGGACCTCCGAACTCCCAAACTAATGCAGGCAATCTTGCCCAACATCAAAGGCTGTGCACCAGAATCCAGCAACACTCTGGCTGGGACATACACCTGCGCTGTAGCACTCACCAAGCAAAATACCCCGCTCCGGTTGTCCACCATACACACACCAGGGACAACCCTCTCCCGATCAATGGCTGGTCGGGCTGGCAAGGACTCCATCCGTGCCGCTGCCGCCTGCCATGTCGACTCATCGCTCGATGAAGTCGTAGAGGATAGCTCCTCACCAATAGTCTCGCCTATGTCGGCACTCGTAGCAGGGATACTCCCACGTTCACACAACGTGGCTGCTGCACGAAAAACCCGAGCCAAGTCAATCCCAGAGTCCATCAGCTCCATAGCTGAAAATAATGGAGATCTCATCATTGAGCTAGCCATCCGCGTCACTGCACTAGATGGTGTGTCCGTGTCCACTACCCGTGACGTAGATGTCTCAGTCCTCCCACTAAGACCACTAGGTGGTACAGGTCTCATGGATGAAGTACTGCCCACCTCTGACAGCAAAAACGACTGGGGAAGTCTGGCCTGACGCCCACCCTCACCCCTCTGAGGATCCAACTCCCCTGTCGCACCGCGTGGCTCTAGAGCTCGAGCTGCACCTCTAGTCACTGCAACCGATGCCTCCACCTGTGCTGCACTCGCTAGATAAGGGAAATCCTCTTCCTTGTAAGAGGTGGAAGTGCTCGCCCCAGAACTCACCATAGCAGCAAGCCTCTGCTCCAACTGCTCAATACGAGCAGCCATCGCGCTCTCCGTAGCCGAAGTAGCACTCGCTACAGGACGTCCAACTACACCGGCACCTCGACCACCTCTACCAGCACGGCCACCTCGACCTCGAGAAGCATCACCACCACGACCTCTACCACCAGATGTCAACTCTGGATGAAGGTCAAAACACCGATCTCGAGTATGCCCTGCTCGATCACAGTGGTCACACACCACCTGTGCTGACTGGGGTCTAGCCTGTGAACTCTGACCTCCGGCCTCCTGGGGACAATCTCTCCGCCGATGATCCCCTCCACATGTCCAACATGCTGGTCCCTGCTGCTGGCCAGCAAACGACGGCACTAGTGCACGTGCCCCTGTATCTCTAGCGGCTGTCTGGTGTCGTGTCTGCACTCCGCGACCCCCACCACTACCACCACCAAAGGGTCTAGACTGTGCCGTGCTCTGCGGGACACGAGAGGTAGTGGCTGCGTCTCTAGCGAATGAAGAAGTCACCACTCTCTCCTCCACTATGTTAAGCTCAATCTTCTCAGAAAGAGCAAACACATAGGCCAATGTCGGTGACGCATCGCTCAAGAGAGTAACATCCCGAACTCTCCGCCGTAGCTCTCTGTCAAGTATCCTGTACTAATACTGGACCGCATGTGCCTCAGTTACACCGTGAGTAACTGAGATCAACCGCCGCATACGCGTGTATGCCTCCCGAAGACTCTCACCAGTCTTCCGCTCAAACTCCTGGAGACTCCTCAACTTCTCCGTCCTCACCCCCTGATAGTTCTTCCTCAACCTCTTGAAGAACTCAGGAATGGGGCTGAACGAAGGTACGCCAGTAGTCTCTCCACTCGTGCTGGCAACGCCAACAGCACCGCTGGTGGTACCTGCTCCACTAGTACCATCGGTGATGCTACCACTCGCCCCTCCACTGGTAGCAACACCACCCTGGGTGATCGACGTATAGTTTGGAGACCAATGACGCCTCCATGCGTCAATCTCCACAGCATACTCTCTCCC